TGCGATTGCTTTTTTAAAATGGTAAATCGCAAGCAGGGAAAAATCAATTCTGCACAAGCCCTCATGCAAACAATCTGTTGTGTGTGTGTGTGTGTGTGTGTGAGAGAGCACTTCAGTTGTGCGAGCACTGAGCACTGAGACACATGTGCTTCCATTCCCCCCATTCCCCTCGATCGCCAGGATCTATGCTTCGCTCGTAAAAGAATTGCAGGGTGCAACTCCCACTTTGTCTGCTCTGTGTGCTCGTTCTTGATTACATCATCTTAAGCTCGTTCTTGATTACACAACATCTTAAACATAAAACTCAACGTGAGGAGTTTATTGCTAGTAGCACATCGCAGCAACCAACATAAACGGAGCTAAGTAAAAAGTTCCATGATGCCCCTGACTGATTATTTAGTAAGTTACTCATTTCAGTCGCAGTATTGACGAGTACAAGTATACGAGATACGAGACTCGGTGTCCACACACACACACACACACACACACACACACACACTTCCTCCCTCTCTCTGCATTCCAACACTTTCTCCTTTGAGATGTACTTGCAGAGTAATTACAGAACGATGCAGTTGTTGTTCACATGTAAAGGAAAAGGATCGTTTAGAAAAACATAAAAAATGCAGGAGTGGCTGTTTTCGTCCCGTGTGAGTCTTGTGGTTAAATGTGTCAGCATTTGTTATGGCCAAGCAATTAGGCTAAAGCTCCAACAGAGGGCAGAGACGCACTGACTGATGTGTGACTCACAAGGCCTAGTCAGATATGTAGTTTCTCTTCTCCTGCACTTCCCTCACACTCATCCCATAGGAACGTCAGTATAGCGGAGGTGGTCAGTGCCGTATGACTGTAAAACATCAGGTATTTGCGGTCTTATCTGGTTTGCCTCTGACTGTTTTTGAAACTATGGTGAGGTATTTTTAAGTGGTTTCTTTGTATGTGTATTTATAGAGGCAGCTGTAGAAGTATTGGCACCCTTTAAGAGAATGAGCCAAAATTATTGTATAAAATAAATATTACACACATTTTTTTTTCTAATTTTTCGATTCAAGCAGTTAAGAGAGACTACTCACCTTTCCTCTAACACAAACTATTCTGATATACATATCTGTGCTCTTAAACAGTGTGGGAAAAGTATTGGCACCTCTGATTAATATTTCAAATAAATGTAAACAATTCGACATCTTTTGAAGAAAATATATATTTCCCTTTGACCATTTCCTGTTTCTCTAGGAAATAAATTATATTAAAATGCCAGTAAATCATTGATGCTTCGAGGATGTTTTGTCACAAGTTGTATAGCAGTTCTTGTGAAGATTGATGGCATCATGAATTCCACAAAATGTCAGGGTATCTCTGCCTCAAAACTTTGATGCATCTGCCATGAAGTCAAGACCTGGTCATAAAAAATGAAATACATAAATATACTACAAATACAAATCAAAATATTGTCCTAATCAGAATACAAATGATTGCGAGAACACAACATTAATGCTGCTACACGAGCAGCATTGTTCACGTAGTCATCTGCATACCTTATGTGTATCCAGAGGATTAAAAGCTATATCCACTAGGGGGCAGGGTCGGGTTAAAACATCAAAAGCATATTTTCTTTGACTACTACTTCTGATTTTGCAAGTCAACAACGAACTTTGCAACAGCAGAGAAGGCTGCTTTACACGCCAGCTGTTCTGGCACGCACGGCATAGACATATCGTACAAATGTGGGTAACTGCAGACTAGCTTCTCTTCAAAACCGTCTGGCACTGATGTGATGTCACATCATAAGGTTGGTCTTGCACAACATGGACGTGTAGCGTTAATTTAAGTTGCACAAGCGACCACAGGATAACATGCTGTTATTCTCTCCAAGGGAGGCTTCATCAACTATTAACTGTGGGGGTGCCAATAATTTTTTCAGTATTTTTTGCAGTGAAGGAAAAATCTGCATATAAGAAGATCTTGTGGTTGAAAAAGTATTGTTTTAAAATGAAACTCTATAGCATCCCTATATGTTTAATACCAAATACCACTCATTGCATGTTTTATTTTTGCGTATATTCATCATATGCATTTGTTTAAATATATATATATATATATATATATATATATATATACAGACACAAACTGTCTTTATGCCATAATTTCATTACAGAGAAAGGTGAATACTTTGTTATAGTGCTGGCATCAGCTCTGTTTTTTTCCACTTGCTTCGTGTATTGATTTGGACTCGGCTGTTTTGGCTGTCCATAGGGAACCATTTCTGCCCTCTGGTCCTCTCACACACACGCACAGATCTGACTGACTTTGTGTGTGTGTGTGTGTGTGTGTGTGTGTGTGTGTGTGTGTGTGTGTGTGTGTGTTGGCATGGCAGCTTTCTAAAGTTTCGAATGTATGAGGTGAGGTGCCAGGATGATTCCTGACATAATCATCTTTACATATGCCTTTGGATGTGTGTATGTCTCTTCCTGCAAAAGTAAACACACAGCTAATGCTTATGCGGAACAGAAACCCTCCAGAAGGCGCTACCTTACATTACCTAAAAAGGCTACTTTCTGATGGCAGGTTTGACTTGTTTCTGCCTGAATGGCTGTAATTACAGGTTTACTGCTCAGTTGGTTGCAGTATGATGGTGAATGGAAGACTGCGGTTGGTCTTGTAAAGGGATAGTCCTTCTGAGAACCTTGTGAAAAAGCTGAAAGTCTTTATGCCAGTAAGTAAGCAGTAACGAAACACATGTGGACAGCACCTTGGATTCAGACTGAACACTGAATCTTAAACTTCGACAATATATTCTTCTGAACTCCTTGGGTTTAACACCTATTCTATCTTATAAATATTTGGTATCCTTTTGGCTGAGATGGTCCTTTTGAATCCTGCTTCTTTCTCCGTACTATGATGTGCATACCTTCCTGATGTAAGTGCGAATTCGAAGCCAGGCATGATGACCTTTCTCTGTGACTATGCTGATTTGGACATTTGCTATAACAGCATAATTCATTCTGTATTTGTCTTGAACACCGTGCTGGATGTTCAAATAGTCCGTGTAATCACTTTTGTGCAGTTGGAGTGGTCCTCCCACCCAAACCCTGGTCACGGGCTTCCATTAATTGTGCTGTATGCCTTAGATAGCCTTGTTATCTATGCCTTAGACTTGTTATCTAAGCACAGCCTTGTAACATAGAAGCTGACTTATCTGAACGGATGCCGATCCATCATTGTCTGAGGCCTGATCTGATTTGTGGAGTGAAAATTACTCCAAATGCCAGGTGCTGACCTCTGTAATAAAGCCACTAGTCCCCTGTGTCACAAGGAAGCTTGTGATGAAACAGAGCTGGGTTTTGTCCAGCTGCTACCGCGTTGGCATGTGACAAGTGTGTCCAGCTGCAGTGGGGCCCCCCGAAGGTCGTGTGTGTGTGTGTGTGTGTGTGTGTGTGTGTGTGTGCACATGCACGTGTGTAACCTGAGTGACCATGACTATGAAGAACAGGTCAGTGAATCACAGAAAAGATTAATCGCAGTCTTTAAAGCATTTGTAAGCAATTTAATTAAGATCACTTTAGCTGTTTAGCTTTCTCTCTCTCTCTCTCTCTCTCTCTCTCTTTCCCTCTCTCTCCCTGAGCAGTGAGCTCTGTGAGTATGTGGCCATGAGTAGAGCAAAGCCAAAACCAAGCAGAAAGCTACAACATTATTTGTTTTTGCAACACATTTTACGTTACTGTTTTGGCTACCTTGCCAAGGGCATTGCGAGATTGTTACA